TTGTGATCTTTTTGTTTGAATTTAAGATTCTTTCTTAAATTTTCAAAAATACATTTAGGCGGGATTTTTCAAAAATTTTAGAAAATATTGCCAAACCTTTTTATATTTATATAGATTTTTATTTTGTGTGTGAGAGAGAATTTAATGCATATCTGAAATCAAATGAACTAAACCCGGCGTGTGCTATGAACTTTTAGGGGTGATTGGATATGAATTCAACTAGTAAAAAATTAATTTTTTTTTAACTATAGTTAAGTTTGAAAAAAAGTAGTATAGTTGGTTGTAGTGAATATTTAAAATTAAAATAATTAAAATAGATTTGATGTAAAAGTAGGAGAAAATGGTTGGAAATGATGGTTAGTTAAAATTATGTGAGTGGATAAATAGTGAATTAAAGTTGATGTGATGTGTAATAATGATTGATTGATATTATTTAATTATATTGATAATATTGGAGATAGTGAATTTGAGTTAAAATTGAGTTAAATTTGAGCTTTGAGTGAGATATTTACTGTACAAATGATATACAATCACGCCCTTAGGAGTTGGGACCAAATTTAATAATAGTACCACAAGATTAAAAGAAATTGCACAATTTTCAAGTGCAATTGTCCATTAACTTATTCATATAGCCTGAGGAGGAACTCAAGTTCAATACCTTAACGAGCTCGAAATCGATTTATTCGTCATTATTAATGAATTAAGTCCAAACTTTAACGAGTTGAACTCGTGTTTTAACGAGCTGAATCATAAAAAAAAAAAATCAAGTTGTAGTGCTAAGTGGAGCTCAACTCGCTAACTAAATAAGCTTAAATAACTACTTGATCGGCTCATTTGATAAACTATCCGAACCGATCTAACGAGTGACTAATTTCGTTTAACAACTCTAAGGATGACTACAAAAATGAGAGATCGGGATTCTGATAGATGATCATAAGGGTGTGCAGATTTTAGTTAAAAATCGAAATAATAGCAAAAACTAACGAAATTTTGACTTTCAGTTCGCCTTTATTATGTAATGTGATTATATGTAATTCATTTCCATAATTTTAGTTATTTTACTTCAAACTTTTATTTGTGTTTTAGGCTTTTATACTAAAGCGAAACAACCGAAAAAATTAAACTGCATAAAATATATTTATTATGTCTTATAAATTTATGTATACATTATTTTTAGTATAAACATATAAATATTAAGTAAAACATTTAAAAATTTGAGAATAAAAAATTAAGATTTTAATATAAAGATAAAACTCCAAAGATCACCTAACCAATCTAAAAGACTCCAAGCCAATCAAAGAATTAAAACATAGCACCAAAAAATAAATAAATAAAAGTGGAACCAGTCAAACTTCTCTCTCACACACACACGCACTACTCCGACCAACATCATTTCCCCAGCAGCTGCCTGCTCCCCCAAGTCCCCAAATCTCCACCAAAAACGAAAAAAGCCAAGATTTTTATCGACCAAACCAACCCCCTTTCACATGGACTCCTCCCCGCTCAACCACCTCCCGCCGGAGACCCTCCACCAGATCTTCTCCTCCCTCCACCTCCGCCATATCGCCGCCGCCAAGTGCGTCTGCCGCTCCCTCCGCGCCTCCCTATCCTCCCCCTCCTTCCTCCACCTCCTCCGATCCAACCACCACCACCACCCCCTCCCCCTCCTCGCCCTCAAGCCCTCCCACCGCCACTCCACCTCCTCCCCCGCCGCCCTCCACGCCTTCGACCCCTCCTCCTCCCGCTGGCTCCGCTTCTCCCTCTCCTTCCTCCCCTTCTCCTCCCTCCACCCCATCACCTCCGCCGCCGGCCTCCTCTACCTCTGGGCCTCCTCCCCCACCCCTCAAAACCCCCAAAAATCCCTAGTCGTCTGCAACCCCGTCACCGCCCAATTCAAAACCCTCCCCCAGCTTGGCTCCGCCTGGTCCCGCCACGGCTCCGTCCTCGCCGGCTCCTCCACCTCCGCCGTCATCGTCCTCACCGAGCTCGCCGTCCTCTACTACCCCTCCAACACCAACAACCCTAATTGGCTCAAATTCTCCTCCAATCTCCCCTCAAAACCCCGGAGCCCCGTCCTAATCTCCGATTCAATTCTCGCGATCTGCGATGTGGGCTCCCCTTGGAGGCCCCAATGGGCCATGTTCAAGACCAGCATTATCGGCGTGGATCGAGCAATGCAGTGGGCCCGGCTGGCGAGGCGCGAGTGGGGCGACATATTCGACATCTTGAAGCGCCCGAGGCTGGTGAAAGCCGGCTGCAACCGGAAAGTATTCATGGTGGGCGGCCTGAGAAGCTCATACGGGCTGCAGAGCGAATGCTCGACTATCTTGATACTAAGATTGGATTTGGAGAACCTCGAGTGGGAGGAGGCTGGCCGGATGCCGGTGGAAATGTACCGGTGTTTCGTGGAGAGTAGTAAGTTTAAGGTCTTTGGTGGTGGGGGTAGGGTGTGTTTTTCGGCGAAAAGGGTCGGGAGATTAGCTCTGTGGGAGGAGAAGGGCAATGGGAAGGCGGATTGGATGTGGGTCGATGGCGGGCCGGGCAATGGGGACGGGCTCTGCCGAGGGTTCACGTTCGAGGCTAGGCTCGATGCTGTTCTGTAGGTTGAGGTGAGTTTTTTTTTTTTT